TAAAACTGATGAATCAACTATCCTCTATAGAGACATATACCTTTACAATGGCTTGTGTTTGCCAGATGGAGTTCCACTCCCTTGCTCCGTAAAAACTGAAAATTTCTTATTTCTTTTTAACATTTTTTTGCACTCCTGTCTTCTATGATTTAGCACTGTATTTCTTCAATTGATCATTTTAAAAACAATTTACTGAAATTCTAGTTTTGAGGCAGTATTCTGTCTTTATTCATTTACTGATTCCTTTTATTGATTCTGAATATCTCTGAATAATATATGCTTTACTTTTCCAACTTTTTAGGCTTTATATACTATAATGATTCTGTATGTATTTACAAATGATTTTTTTCTCAAGATAGTATTTTTTAATATTGGTTCATATCAATGCATGTAGATATAATCCAATCCTTTACTGTTATATTGTATTCATTCTGTTTCTTTTAACCTAAGGCTTTTTAAGTGGGTTAATTATAAACAACAAATTGAAAGCATTATCTCCTTTATTTTTCATTTGTACTCTGTCAGTTAACTGTAACATTTAGTGAATTTATATTTACTGAACTTATTAGGAAGATTTGTTTTTACATATGAGTTTGTGCTGCTTTCTGTTTTTGTGCCAAGATGCTTGACCCACAGAAATTGTGAAATAGTAAATGTGTTGTTTTAAGCCACTAAAAAAGAAAAAAATCAACTGAGTCCTTAGATAGATGGATTGTAGTAATGGATGGAAAACACGTGTGATCTGAGCTCAAAGTCTGATGAATCCAGAGCAAAGTTGGTTGAAAAAAGGTGGGAGGGCCTGTGAAAGTGTCCTTATTAGCAGTGGTGGAGAGATGTTTAGCCCTCCGACATCAGTGAGTCATCAGAAGACATATATCAGTTGAGGTGATAGTTACCACTAGGAAAATGAAATCTCATTCTATCATAAGGGGGTATCTTGACATAAGGATTATTAATTTCAAGCAGCCCAGTTGCAATAAAACAATAGTGGTGGATGTAAGATCTCCATTACTTTTCCCATATTTACTGTGGCAGAGAGAAGTCACTATGGTGAAATGAGGGTATACTCTTACCTACTATACAGAGTATAGTAAGAATTCAAGGCTACTGCTCAGATGACCTCACCAAGCAGAATTCTGCTATACATTCCTACACCTTCTATCCACTTCATGAAAAGATAAGGCCTTGGCGAAAAGATGTATGAAAGGTACATGTTAAGTCTACATTTTGGATCATTATGAATTCATTCATGCCTTCAATTGCAGAGTCCCAGGAAGAGTAAGGATGAAGCTAATGATACTTTCTCAACCTTCACTTGCTCCATCCCCCTCATGGTAGGTCCTTCAGAATTTGTTACTTCTTTTCATCCTCTCTCTCCTCACCTGGAGTCTTTTTGAAAGTCGCTCCAAAGGGGGACTGGGACCAAAACCCTGTTCATGAATGTATTTAATGCATTTTCAATTGTATGATTCTTGGAATAGAAAATTACCTATTGGGGGCACCTGGGTGGCTCAGCCGGTGAAGCATCTGACTTTGGCTTAGGTCATGATCTCATGTTCATGAGTTTGAGCCTCACATCAGACTCTGTGCTGACATATGGAAGTCTGCTTGGGATTCTCTCTCTCCCTCTCTGCTCTTTCTTCGCTCGTGCTTTCTTTCTCTCTCAAGATAAATAAACTTAAAAAATATTTTTTAAAAAAGAAAACTATCTCTTGGAAAATCTTATCTTTAGGACAAACCAGTGAGGGAAAGTCTTCTGATGGCAATTTCTAGAACAGTCAAGGTCCAGGGACTTTCAGTCAGGATTTATTTATTCCTCACAGAAATTATTTACATCTCAGCTGGTGTAAATGCCCTTACTGTGTCAATCTTGGGATACACACATACATACATAGACACTCACAGACACATATATCTGACTTATTTACTTATTGATACATTTATTTCTTCTTCTGATATATTTCTCCTATTAGTTACAGATCTTCAACAATATGAGCACAGTTTTATTACAATGTTAATTACTCTTTCTGTTCATAATTATTTCAGTGTATCTACTTTTACTTTTGTACAAGCATCAATAAGAAATTCTTACAGCAATCTGACAGAGTAATTGAACAAAGTATTCACTGATTATTTCTCTGTTCAAGACAGCAAAGTCAGCACAAGAGTTAATATAAGCTCAGTTAGCACTTTATGAATAAAATTCTTTTTTTCAGCAGTCAAAAAGAAGAAGCTACCTTTGATTAGAGAGAACATGTAATGGCTGTGTGAATATAGATTAGAAGAGAACACTTAATAGCTGTGTGAATATGGATAAGCCACCAAACATTCCTGGACACTAGTAATTTTATATGTGGAAGGGGGATAATATTTGTCTTGTTTATATCTTTATAAATCTAAAGGCAAAAAATAACAGTCATTAGTATTTATATATCCAAAATAATGTTCACAAAGAGGACTCTACAGAAGATGCATTGAAGTATAGACACTGAAGTATATACATGAAAAGAGAATATTTTAATATACCTTTCCTAATTCCAAGACCGATCAAAAGGACAAAAACAGCAAGAATAAAAAGACCTAAAATATAACCAATAAAATGGATAAGTACATATAAAACTGTAAACCATCATAATAAAAATTATATCTTCTTTTAAATGTACCCAAAATATTGTAAATATTTTTATAAACACAATCACAGTAAATTTGAATGAATAGTTAAAATACAAACAGTATACATATATAGTTACCTATAGGGAGTGGAAGTGGAGGTGAATAAGTTGGGCAGACAAAGATATCAGCCAGAATTCATTGGTTAAACATTGTTTTATAGGTTGATTTTTTAAATAAAAAATTAAAAGCAATCCCTAAAATCTGAAAAAAAGACTAAATAAACAAATCTAGCTCTGTTTCCAGTTTGTGATGTGTGTATGGTAAAATAAAACAATTGAATAGTATGTTGTTACCATCAGGAACAGGGATATTTGGTGAGAGGCAAGAAGATGAGATTGGAGAATAATAGAAAGCCTCAATGATATTGCTAATGCTAGATGTTTAATACATAATAATTATATATACATGCATTAAAATATTGAATGCATTAAAGTAGTAAAGTTGTAAAGTATATATATATATATATAAAGGGCATATAATATAGCTATATCATAGCATATATATAGTAGTAAAGTAAAGTAGTAAAGTCTATATATATATAAAGGGAATATGATATAGCTCCTGTGGAGGATGGTGTTAGGGACACCAGGTAGTAAGCTGCTAATAGTAAATGCTCAGAGCAGAGATGATGGTACTTTCGACCAGAGTGGAATATTTTTGTGTGTGGAGAACTGGTATAATCTGGGATGTATTCAGGAGGAAAAAAATACAATGCAGGAGTTGCTAATAGATTGTGTATTAGTTATGAGAAAAAACTATAAATGATTCCTAAGAATTTGGCTTGAGTTGACTTGAGTGAGTTTCTCTTTCTTCCATGTGCATTAATTTCAGTATCTGCTCTGCCTCTTTTGTTTGTTTCTTTAATTCCTGTGCAAAAGAGTTATTCTGTTTGTGAGTGTGTGGAAAGTACCTTTTGATCTTTTTCGTTATGAGTCAGCTTCAAGCATTACAGAGTAACCGATTTGGTTGGTTTTCAGGCAAGAGGAATCCATGTTTTTTCATTTTAATGTTTAGTTTATTTTTTGGAATGGTTTTATTCTAACAGCTTCATTGAATCCGGGTCTTATAGATCAATAATAGCAGACAGGAACATTTCTTGAGTTAATGAGACACATCATAGTGCCAGGCATCTGGAAGATGTTTGCTTTTGAAAACACTAGGAAATAAATGACCAAGCACCAACTTAGACTAGGTATTTTTCATGATAGAAACATTTCAGTCACAGGTCCTGCAGATAAAGACTTTAAACTTTATTGGGAGAGATAGACATTTAAATTCTTTTCATGCAGTGGGAAAAAGAGACATTGGGTGTCAGCTAGAATTTAGTTCAAATTCTGATTCTATTGTTTAAAAAAATAAAAGGAGTCCCATTTTAAATTGAATTTGAACAACTTTGAAAGGGCTGGAGCAGGAAGGAGTCATAAAAGAAAAACCTTGTCACTGGCCAAAGTATAATTGGCAATGATGCAGATACAGGAAAAATATTGGAAACATCATTGTTGTTTCGGATGTTGATTTCAACCATTTTTTTCCACATTCAGTATTAATCGGTGCTGAGACTTTTATAGAGGATATTCCTAGCAAAGAATATTTGCATTGTATTTCTCACTACCATGTGTGCTTGGTGCTTTCACATACTAGCTTCAAGGCATCAGTATTTTGTAATGAAGTTTATTTATAAATGATATGATATGGAAAAGCATGTGGCTGTCCTAATGAAATATGGGCAGCCTAAGGAGGTGATGCTACAATCCGAAACATAGGTATCTGATAGGAATTTTTCCAGAGTCTGGAACTCTGATATAGATCTGGAAAGATGCCTCTACAGTAAAACATTTAATATTATATCACTACAGATTCACAGTAGTGAAGAATTAAGAATTGACAAATTTTCTCACCAGTAAGTAGTAAAGTCTAACATTTGTATCTTCATTCAGTATCTTCATTTTCCTCTTTAATTTTTATTTCCTGTTTTAAATAGAACTATCAAGAAAAACTCTGGCCAACTTCCTATGTGATTGGGTACAGAACTGTCGTAGGGGAGGGAAAGAAAAACATGAAGTGAAAAATAAGATAATTTCTATTAGAACAGAAAGAGAATTTCAACCAGATCCTGGGGTATTGATCAGAGAAATGAAAACATCTTTAGCTATTAAAACATAGGGCTAATGGAGACAAACTCATATCTCTAAGTCCAAATGAGGACTTAACCTCCAGTGTGGCAGGTTTTCAGAATTTTCAAAATATGAAAGATGCAAGCATAAGACCAAAAGCAGATATGGAGTCCCGTTTAGAAGCTATAGGACTTCCTAACATGACATTGGCATCTACCATCTCTGGACAGAAGTGAGTCTCCCCAGGACTCTCTTGAAGGCTTCCATTACTTCCTTGTTTCTCAGACTATAGATAAGAGGGTTCAGTGTTGGAGTAATGATAGTATAAAATACAGAGAGGATGTTGTCCTGCTGGGGACTATGGTAGTAATTGGGCTGGATGTACATAAACATGGCAGATCCATAGTACATTCCTACCACAGTCAGGTGAGAAGAGCATGTGATGAGGGCTTTCTTCCTTCCCTTATCTGAGGACATGTGAAGGACAGCAATTAAGACAAATGTATAAGAGGCAAGGATAGCACCAAGGGTAGGCATGAGAAAAATCACACCTATCACATATACCACAAGCTCATATATGGAGGTATCTGCACAGGCCAGTTTCAGCAAGGATGGGATCTCACAGAGCAGGTGGTTGATTTTCCGGGACATGCAGAAAGGAAAGTGCATAGTATATGAGGTGAGTATCACAGCATTCAGGAATGCTAGGATCCAAGATGTGGCTATCATGAGCCAGCATATCCTTGGCCTCATGAGTACCATGTAGTTGAGAGGATGACAAATAGCTGCATACCTGTCATAGGCCATGAACACCAGTAGTATGTCCTCTGCACCTCCTGAAATGAGAACTACTAACATCTGAAAGGTGCAGCCTTCAAAGGAGATGGTGTTCTTTCCACGCAGATAATCCACAAGCATTTTGGGAGTAACTACAGATGCAAACATCAAGTCCATGAGAGAGAGCTGGCTAAGTAGAAGGTACATTGGCACATGGAGCCAGGAATCCATTATAATGACCAAGAGCAGCAGACCATTGCTGGTCAGGGCCAACATGTACAGGGCAGCGATTATGGCACAGAGCAGTTCAGGAGACCCACTGTCATTCAGAATCTCCACCATTGTGAAGCCATTTCCCGAGGTGGAGTTCCAGAGCTCCATTCTATGGTTTCTTTATTTATCTGAAATTACACAAGATCTAAGTAAAGTAGTTCTGATGTAATACTGGAGACTTCCTTGCTTTATAATATTATAGCCTTTGATCAGCAGGATTGGTTGTTCAATTTATCATATCATACTTATACTTTTTCATTAATAAATTAACTCACCAAATATGTGCTGATAACATATTAGTAAAAGAGCACATTTCTTCCCTACTTCTGATGTTTCCTTCAATGTTAGGGGAGTCCCATTGTGCAATAATTCTGGGCTTGTCTCTGCCTTATACTTCTACTCCGCCATTTGCTTTTTTCTGAAAAATGTGGAGCAATTCAATGGGAAAGATTAAAGGGAAAAATCTGGGCACATATTATCCAGCCTCCTTTTCAGGAGATGAAGAGTCTTTGAGAAGGCCTAGTATATATTCTCCTTTCCCCCACCCAGGTTTGGAACCAATTGAGAAAGAAGATATTTATGCAGGCCAAAGCATCACCTTTATTTTTCATAAAACAGAAATCTGAGAATAAAGTTGATATGCCAGTAGGCAATGGGCTTCCTAATACCAACGGCCAATTACCTTTACAATCATAATTACCTTTGCAATCATAGGCCACATAGGAAGAAGGCAGTTTTCCCACAAGAAAACAAGAGTGGGAAAGGGGTACAGGATAGTCCAAGTACTATCCATTGTATCTTCCAAAAGAAGAGAAATTTATCCAGTTCATTCTGTAATTGGATTATGTTCCTCCCTTCCTTGAGAAGAAATGAGGAGAAGAAGAGACTAGGTATCTTACATTACTGTTCCCTTGACATAGAAGCAAATTTTGGTAGAGAGAAAGAACCAATGCCTCCCATGCCTCTTGTGTGCCAGGCATTGTGATAGCTCTCAAGCATAGAGTGGAGTACATAACTTATAGAATACCTGACCACATTCAGTTATATTTTTTTCACCATCTCTGATTTTACTTCGTTTTTTAAAAATTGACATATTTATTTTGAGAGAGAGAGAGAGAGAGCAAAATCAGGGGAGGGGCAGATAGAAGGAGAGACAGACTCCTAAGCAGGCCCTGCACCATCAGCATACAGCCTGATGGGGGTCTTGAATCCACGAATCACGAGATCATGACCTGACCCAAGATCAAGTTGGTGACTTAACTGACTGTGCCACCCAGGCACAGTCTTCATTTTTTAAAACTTAATTCCATTATACTTAACATACAGTATTAAATTGGTTTCAGATGTACAACATAGGATTCAACAATTCTATATATTACTCCTTGTTCAAGATAAGTATATACACTTATCTAGCTGAGCACACTTATCTTCAGTTACATTCTTGTGAACAGCATTTAAAAATAGGTCTAGGAGTGCCTGGTGGCTCAGTCAGTTAAGGATCTGACTTTGAGTCAGGTCATGATCTCATGGTTTGTGAGTTCAAGGGCTACATCAGGTGAGTTAGTGCCCTGCTTTGCGTGAGCCCAGCTTCTCTCTCCCTCTCCCTTTCTCTCTGTCACTGCCTCTCGTGGGATTCTCTTCTCTCTCTCTCCCTCCCTTCCCCTCACTCACTTGTGCTCTCTCTCTCTCTCAAAAAAAAGAAATAGGTGTAATCACGAATTGTGAAAATTATCATAATGAAAAAGAAGAGATAGTGGTTCTCATGTAGATTGATAATTAAGAAAATACCTCTTGGGGAGCCTGGGTGACTGAGTTGGCTAAGCATCTGGCTTTAGCACAGGTCATGATCTCACAATTTGTGAGTTTGAGCCCCACATCAGGCTCTGTGCTGACAGCTCAGAGCTTGGAACTGCTTCAGGTTCTGTGTCTTCCTCTCTCTTTGCCTCTCATGCTCTCTCTCTCAAAAATGTATAAATGTTTTAAAAATATTTAAAAGAAAATACCTCTCTGCTTCAATATTTGCAAATCAATCAATGTGATACATCACATTAATAGAAGAAAGGATAAGAACCACATGATCCTGTCAATAGATGCAGAAAAAGTATTTGACAAAATACAGCATCCTTTATTAATAAAAACCCTCAAGAATGTCATGATATAAGGAACATTTCTTAACATCATAAAAGCCATATATGGGGGCGCCTGGGTGGCTTAGTCGGTTGGGCTTGCGACTTTCGCTTAGGTCATGGTCTCGCGGTTCGTGGTTTTGGGCCCCGCGTCGGGCTCTGTGCTGGCTGCCAGCTCAGAGCCTGGAGCCTGTTTCGGAGTCTGTGTCTCCCTCTCTCTCTCTGGCCCTCCCCTGCTCACGCTGTCTCTCTCTCCTAGAGATGAATAAAAATATTGGAAAAAAAAAGCCATATATGAAAAGCTCACAGCTAATATCATCCTTCATAGGGAAAACCTGAGAGCTTTCCCCCTGTGATCAGGAACACAACAGGGATGTCCACTCTCACCACTATTGTTTAACAGTGTTGGAAATCCTAGCATCAGCCATCAGACAACAAAAGGAAATCAAAGACATCAGAATTGGCAAAGAAGAAGTCAAATTTTCTCTTTTTACAGATGTCATGATCCTCTACATGGAAAACGTGAAAGACTTTACCAAAATGCTGCTATAACTTATCATAAATTTAGCAAAGTTGCAGGATATAAAATCAATGTACAGAAATCAGTTGCATTTCTATGAACTAATAATGAAACAACAGAAAGAGAAATCAAGAAATCAACCCCATTTACAATTGCCCCAAGAACCATCAAATACCTAGGAATAAACCTAACCAAAGATGTAAAAGATCTGTATGCTGAAAACTGTAGAAAACTTATGAAAGAAATTGAAGAAGACACAAAGAAATGGAAAATGTTTCATGCTCATGGGTTAGAAGAAGAAATACTGTTAAAATGTCAATACTAGCCAAAGCAGTCTACATATTCAATGCAATCCCAATCAGAATTACATGGGCATTCTACTCAGAGCTAGAACAAAGAATCCTAAAATTTGTATGGAACCACAAAAGACCCTGAATAGCCGAAGTAATGTTGAAAAGAGGCATCACAATCCCGGACTTTAGCCTCTATTACAAAGCTATAATCATCAAGACGGTAAGGTATTGGCACAAAAACAGACACACAGACCAATGGAATAGAATAGAGAACCCAGAATTGGACTCACAAATGTATGGACAACTAATCTTTGACAAAGCAGGAAAGAATATCCAACTGGAAAAAGACAGTCTCTTTAGCAAATGATGTTGGGAGAACCAGATAACAACATGCAAAAGAATGAAACTGGACCACTTTCTTACACCGTACACAAAAATAAATTGAAAATCGTTGAAAGACCTAAATGTGAGATAGGAAACCATCAGAACCCTAGAGGAGAAAATAGACAACAACCTCTTGGACTTCAGATGGAGCAACTTCTTACTAGACACATCTCCTAAGGCAAGGGAAATAAAAGCAAAAATGAACTATTGAACCTTATCAAGATAAAATGCTTTTGCACAGCAAAGGAAACAATCAACAACAACAAAAAAGGCAACCAACAGAATGGGAAAAGATGTTTGCAAATGACATATTGGATAAAGGGTTTGTATCCAAAATCTACAAAGAACTTACCAAACCCAACACCTTAAAAACAAATAATCCAGTAGGAAATGAGCAGAAGACATGAAGAGACATTTTTCAAGGGAAGACATCCAGATGGCCAACAGACACATGAAAAGATGCTCAACATCGCTCATCATCAGGGAAATACAAATCAAAACCACACTGAGACACCACCTCACACCGGTCAAAATTCCTGACATTAACAACTCAGAAACAACCTATGTTGGTGAAGATGTGGAGAAAAGTGCATCCTCTTGCACTGTTGGTGGAAATGCAAATTGGTGCAGTCAATCTGCAAAACAGTGTGGAGGTTCCCTAAGTAATTAAAAATAGAATTACCCTATGACCCAGCAATAGCACTACTAGGAATTTATCCAAAGGATACAGAAGTGCTGATGCATAGGGGCACATGTTCCCCAATGTTTGTAGTAGCACTATCAACAATAGCCAAAATATGGAAAGAGCCCGAATGTCCATTGACTGATAAATGAATAATGAAGATGTGATATATATATATATATATATCTATCTGTATATATGTATCTATCTATCTATCTATCTATCTACTGGAATATTACTTGGCAATGAGAAAGAATAAAATCTTGCCATTTGCTACAACATAGATGAACTGGAGGGTATTATGCTAAGTGAAATAAATTAGTTAGAGAAAGACAGATATCATATGTTTTCACTCATACGTGGAATTTGAGAAACTTAACAGAAGACCATGGGTGAAGGGAAGGAGAAAAATATTAGTTTCAAACAGAGAGGGAGGCAAACCATAAGAAACTCTTAAATATAGAGAACAAACTGAGAGTTGATAGGTGGGAGGGGGAATGGGTGATGGGCATTGAGGAGGGCACTTGTTGGGATGAGCAGTGGTTGTTATATGTAAGCGATGAGTCGTGGGAATCTATTCCTGAAGCCAAGAGCACATTGCATACACTGTATTTTAGCTAACTTAACAATAAATTATATTTTAAAAATGTAACTGGCAATAAGGCAGCAAAGGAAGGGTCTTTATTTGCAGGCACCCTGACCTAGAATGAAGCATTTCTAAGCTTAATCTTGAATGGAAAAAAAAAGGGCTGTCCATAGGTGCTTTGAAGTGACAAAAAATACACTAGTGTCAGTTGTGGGTATCTTCCAATGTTCTGAAAAATCACTGATTTATGCCAAACACCACAGTCTAAGACCCAAGATTTGAGCATGGGAGATGAACACCCACAATTCCACAGTGTGAAAGAGAGAGAGACAGAGACAGAGACAGAAAAGAACCATTGGCTCAGTTATGATCATGTGATGTTCGGCCTCACATACTACTCTCTTTGCAAAACACTGCTCACTTATCAAGTTAAAATTTGGTAGAAATGTTTTTTCATTTTTTGAATACTTGCAGAACAAGTTTCTTGCAATCCATGGATATACATAGTTAATATCAT